TCCTTCCTTCCTTCCCTCGTTATCTTCCTTCCTTCCTTCCTTCCTTCCTTCCTTCCTTCCTTCCTGGGAAGCACTGGAAAGCGGTATATAAGTGTAAAAGCTATTCCTCCCTCCCTCCTTCCAAAGAGAGGCCCCTCCCCAAGTGGCCCACGGTGTTATCTCAGACAGGAACCTCCTTAAATCCTGTGTCTCTCAACCTCGGCAACTTCCTGGCTGGGGAATTCTGGGAGTCGAAGTCCACCCATCTGAAAAATGGCTGAAATGGAGAAGAACCGCTCCCGAGAGTTTGCACAACAACCTCAAACCAGATACCGGGGCCAGGCGATGAACATTTGGGCCGCTGCTCTTGTGAGTCCTTGCATGGCCCGGGCTGCTTCGACCCCCTCCCCGCTTGCTCTCTTCCAGGCTAGCTTGCGTACCCCAGAGCTGACTTGGGAGCGGGTGAGGTCACAGGTTGACCACGTCATCTGGCCGGATGGGAAGAGAATCGTCTTGCTGGCTGAAGTAAGTGAGCCGCTCCGCGGCGCCAGAGGGCTTGAGAGGGGGTACCTCGGCTTGAGGGGCGGGGCGGGCTTCTGGGATGCCAAAGGGGGGGACCCTTTCCTGATGCCCGCTTGGGAAGGCTCAAGACCTGAGGTGGGGCGTTGGGAGTCCATCCGGGCAGGGGGTGGGAGTCAAAAATCCCAGGCCCTGGTTCTCGGCTGGGTGGGCGTGGCCATAGTGGGCGTGGCCTACCAGAACTTCTTGGGGGGGGGGGGCGTTTTTGGCCTTCCCCGGAATCCGGAGGCTTCCCTTGGGCCTCTGGGAGAGTGAAAAAGGCCTCCCCCAGGCTCCGGTAGCCGAAAACAGGCCCGTTTCCGGACGCCCAGAACTTCCAATTTGGCCCATTTTGGGGGCCCCCAGAGCCTCCACGTAGATCCTGCACTTACCTGCATCCAAAAACAGGCCACGTGGAGACTCCTGGGAGGAGAGGGGCAGGGTAGTAGGGTGGGCAGGGCCATCCGGTCGGTTCAACTACAGGTTCGGCGAACCAGATGCAAATTTTAACAACCGGTTCACTCGAACCAGCCCGAACCAGCCGAATCCCACCCCTGAATCCAGGGTGCTGGAAATTGCTCCTTTTTTTTCCCCCCCCCCCCCCCCCACCAGGGTCGCCTCTTGAACCTCAGCTGTTCCACAGTGCCAACCTTTGTGCTGTCCATCACAGCCACCACTCAGGTGAGTCAGACGGGGCGTCGGGGCTCCAACCAACCCACCCCCGTTCAAATCGTAAGTCTCTAGCCGCATCTCTCAGCGAAAAGAAAATGGATTTATTAGGAGTGGCCATGTTGCCGTTAGCTGGATGCAGCCGATAATGCAATACATCATTCATTTCCCCCTTGACCCTGGTCTTCCCCCCCACCCCCTGGATGTATATTCTCCAATGGGACACATCCATAGCCAAGAGTCATCAATCAGGCTCTCCAGTAATAATCTTGCGCACCGACAGCTTTGGCTGTCAAAGCAATTATCTGAAGCATTTAAGGAATGCACTGTTTTCCCTCCACTCCCTTTTTCTGGCAGCTAAAAGGACCAAAGGAGTCTCTTTTGAGTTGACACGGGGAGGCTGGTTTTGCCAGCTGGCCACCTGGCTCTGGGCGTGGGGACGGGATGTCATTCTCCCTCCCATCTCGGGACTCATCGTAAAGAATGGTTTGTTTAAGTTATTTACTTTATAGAAGAGAATATTGCTCAGGATTGAACTGCGGGGTTCTTGAGGCACGCCGAGCTTGGAGGTTTTCCTGCAGACGTTTCACGACCCAACTAGGGAACGTCATCGGTGCTAGAAGGGAATGGAGTTTGTGGAGAGGAGGAGGAGAATTGTGGGGTCCTTGGTGCTCTCTGAGCTGGGTTGTTTGCTTGCAGACGTTTCATTGTCCAGCTAGGTGACATCATCAGTGGTAGAAGGGTGTGTGGAGAGGAGAAGGACTGTGGGGTCCTTGATGTTCTCCAAGCTTGGAAGTTTGGGAATATTGCCTGAGGATTATAATGTAGAGTTAACCTACTTGATTATCAATGTATTAACAACAGCTAGGATTGTATTTGCACAAAATTGGAAAAAATGAGACAATTCCGATGGATGAGGAAATAATTAAGAAAACAATGGAATGTGCTGAAATGATGGACAATGGCAATTAGTGAAGAAGAGGGAAAAAGATTATTATAAAATTTGGAGTGTGTTTTATGAACGGCTAGATAGAAGAGTAAGGAATTGAAATACGTAAGCACAGTATAATATTTATTACCGATCAACGAATGAGTTAGACTGAGTAAGAAAATGAATGTGAAATAGATTATTGACAATCAATAAATATGTTAAGGCTAAAAAAAAAAAAAGAAAGTTTCCTTGTGGACCTCTCACAACCCAACTAGGGAACATCATCAGTGCTAGAAGGAAGTGAAGTTTGTGGAGGAGGAGGAGGAGGAGGACTGTGGGGTCCTTGTTGCTCTCTGAGCTGGGTTGTTTTCTTGCAGGCCTTTCATGATCCCACTAGATAACGTCATCAGTGCTAGAAGGGAGAGAAGCCAAAAAAGGAAACAAAAAAAAAGCTAAGACCGCCTCACTCTTAATGAACCTCCAGATATGCAGGGGTTAACACCGAGAATGAACCCTACTCCAGGGATGGCTTACCTTTTTGACACCGAATGCCCAAAGCGTGTGTGCGTGCATCCCCCAAATGCAAAAAAGCGTGCATCCCCGTGCATGCGCCGCCCTGCCCCCCGTGCATGCGCGTGCATCCCCCGTGCTTGCACCCTGCTCCGCATGCGCTCCCCCGCAGAGATCTGAAAACCAGCTGGCCAGCGGGAGGTGCGTGGGCGCATCCGGAGCTGAACTTAGCCAATGCCTCACATGCCCACAGAGAAGGCTCTGCGTGCCACCTCTGACACGCGCGCCAGAGGTTCACCCTCACAGCCCTAAACAATCAAGGAGTAAACAGTGCCCCAGTCAAGGAGCCACCAACTGAGACAAACCAAAAGTAAATCACAGCCTGATAAAGGAACTGAGAGCATCTCTGTTTATCTGAGTAGTGGCTACTGGAAAAGATGTTGTTTTGGGTCTTTTTGTTTGCTTTTTTTTTTTTGGCTTTTTGATTGTCTCTTTCGAACGGTATGTAGACATCGTTGATCTCTATGTGCCCGTTGATGGCCGATTTGTTTTAATGCCAAACGTCCAGGAACTCTTTTTTTTTTTTGGAACCTGGCTTGGTTTAGGATGCTCTGAGTTTTCCAGTTGAAACTATGGTGCCCTCTTGTCCCTGGGTTGTGCAGTTCAGGAGTTTTCATCCTCCCCAATCAAGAAACTACCAATTCAGGCAAACTATCACACATTAAACAGCAGCCTAAGGAAGGAACCAGGAACGTCCCTGTTTTATCTGG